GCCTCACAGCACAGTGCATAAATCACTACTGATTTAACTAAGTAATTTATCCTTTGAAGTCAGGACTCAGTGCCCACTCTCTCAAGGACACACACACACACACACACACACAATGTGTTTTGGAACTCAAGAGTTGTGCTTAATAAAACTCTGTGACAGTTTGTTCAGCTTTACATTGGCTTTTGGTCCTGTCCGCCACACTGTCACTGAGAACTGTTTCTATGTAATTGTTCACAGCTAAAAATATCAGCAGTGTTGTTGAGGGTGGTGTTGTGATTGAGCAAATAACAAATAGGATCTATTTGTTTTAAAGGACTTCTGATGGAGGGTAGAAAGAGAATACTCCCCATGTTTTCTGAACTCTGTCTGCATCATCAGGTATAGCTTTGACCTCATGTGGTAGTGGTCGCTCTTGTGCCCGTGAACCCAGGCGGTTTGCCTGCCTCTCTCGGGAGCAGATGACAGTCTGGGCCAGGCAATGGAATGCCACAATCTGGACTACCCGAAAGAGGAGGAAAGAGGAAGAGGTGGAAAGCAGTCATCGAGAATGAATCTAACTTCTCAGAATGAGTGACAGAGGACATCAGCTGGTTGGGTCCATTAGGGACCTGGCACGAGAAGCCAAGCGATCCCCACTGCTGGAAGGAAACACAGGTGACTCGGAGAGCAACACGTATTGGGTGGCAGCAGATGCTCAACAACAACACAGGGTGCAAGGAGACAAGAGAATGATCTCTTTTTAAGGACTGCTGAAGAGACCTTTGAATCTAGATTTTTATATTCAGTCCAGTTGTCATTGAAGTGTGAAGACACGATAAAATTGCCACAGGCATATACTGGCTCAGGAATTCTGCTTAATAAGACTCCACACAGAAAACACTCATAAAATAAAAGGAACACATCCAGAGGATGATGTAAATAGGGAAAATAAGAGTGATAAGCTCCTTTGTAAAGTTTATTGATCACCCAGAGGAAAAAATAAAGACCTGGAACTGGAAAGGGCCAGTTTTCCCCCAGAATTATAAACCCCCGTTCTGAGGAGG